TATAGGCCCCGCCCCATAGACGTTGGTCCGCCTCTAACGTCAGCCCCGCCTCTCATGCGTATAGGCCCCGCCCCTGGCACGCGTAGGGCGTACATGTGGACCTTCCTCTTGATGAGTGAGGTGTGCTGTCTGGAGCTCCTGGACCCTGTCAGGCTTCGTCGTAGTTGAGATCTCTTCTGCTGATTTCTGATCCTGCACTGATAAACACACTAACTCTTTCCCCTCAGCTTTCTGCCCCTCTCCTGATTTCCAGCCGCACTTTCGGAGCCTCACAGCCTTTTTTGTTATCGTTAGTAGAAAACCCTTCAGTGGCCTTGCTCAGTGTAGCTCCCTGTCGTGACACAGGTTCCTCCTGCCCGTGCCCTTGTGATGGGGAACCTTTCTGAGGCAGACGGTGGCGTGGATCTGTGCCTTTGAGATGGGCTTATTCTGGTGATGACTGAATTTCAGCTCTGTGCTCCCATAATTTATGTGGGAGCCCAGGTGTCTAGGGGCTGACATCTTGAGTGGGTTGTGCGATTCTCAACTCAAGACAGGATTATGTGAGCAACAAGAGGGTGTGGTCAGAAGTAGGTTTGACTAGAGTCTTCTGGTAGTGCTGGCCACAGGTCACAGAGTCCATGCTTGAGGACGAGTACAGATGGAGTAGCTTGGGTTCTGTGTCTTAGAGCTGAAAGGAACAAGAAAGAAAAGAAGTACTAAAACCTTGCCTGGGTTACACGGGTGTCAGCAGCTAAGACGGACACTGTGATGGCACAGGATTGGGATAGCTGTCCAGCTTGGCAGAGTGGACCCACCCACGACAGGGCTGGACTCAAGAGTAGAGTAGTCTCCAGCTCCCAGCTGGACCTCTGCTCCCAGTCCCAGCCTTCAGGCCAAGGAAGAATGGATACTTGTCCTTCACACTGGAGATTAGATTAGAGAGGACAGTCATTGCCTGAGGACATCCAGGAGGACAAGCCAGCTCAGTGGAGAAAGTACAGGGCAGCTGTGCAGGGCAGCTCCACCTGGCTAAACAAGTGAGGGGGGTGGAATGCCATAGGGGAGCCCACTCTGAGAAACTGCTTCCCCTGAAGGTTCGTCAGCAAGCCCACTGCCGGCCCATCCATCCCACGCCCTGCGACCTCCCATGTGAACCTGCAGACCTGGTGGAGACTGGTGTTTCTTCCCTGGAGCAGCTCGTGGATTCATGTGCTGCCCTCTGTCTGGGCTGAGGTCCCAGACACTGTGCACTGTATCATGGGCTTCCACACTGCTGCTCACACGAGGCTCTAGGTCCTCCCAGGAGCAAACGGCCTCATCCTTCTCCTGGGAAAGCTTAGGACACAAAATTTCAAAAAGCACGATTTCAAACAACGAGGAGGCCAAGACCAGGAGAGAGGACTGTTGAATGAAATGTAAAGGAAAGCAGAGGCGCTCAAGACACAAGCCCAGACCAAGCACAAACTCACCACCATCAAGTAGATGCCAATTCATTGCTACCCTGCAGGACAGAGCTGAGCTGGCTGCAGGTCCCCACGGCTGCCATTGTTAAACAACAACCTTTCCCTTCTCCCACAGAGAAAGGCTTGTGTGTTCAAACCATCAACCCTTCTGTTAGCAACCAACCATGTTAACACAATTCTAGAGCTCCTTCAGGAAACAGCACAAGACTACACCAGAGTGTAGACATAAGCCAGGAACCGTGGGGCAGAGCCAGCATGGCTGATGCACATGTCTGCTCTCTAGTCTGTCCTCTGGGAAATGTCTCTGCCATAGGTGCACTGACACACAGACAAGAACACTCACTTAGAGACTTTCACCCTAAGAGAACCAGAAGTGGTCTCAAGGTCTGCGAGCGGAGGATGTGGTGAAAGCCATGTGGATTGATCCTGTGGAACGTCACATCACAGTTCAAGTGAATGACCTAGCTCTCCATGCCTCAGCTCAGACCCCAAACCACAGAGCAGAACCTGGTCTCTAATGACTGGTGACTCTGTGGGGGAAGTGTTGTGCTGCTAATAGGAAAGTCAACAGTTCAAATCCATATGCTGCTCCTTGAGAAGATGAAGAGCCAGTGTGCTTCTCAAAGGTTGCAGCCTTGGAAGCCCTGGGGTGGCTCTGCCCTGTCACACAGGACAGCTGTAAGACATGGCTTGGTGGTAGTGGGTTAGGTCTGGTAGTAATTCAGAAGACTGTCACCTAGCCAGTAACTGCTCCACATTTGTGCCCATTCTGCAGAAAGATGATCAGATAGGATGCATAAGTAACCAAATGTTATCATCGATACTAAAGTCTTACTGAAGATAATTCAAAAGTAAGTGGAGCAGTCCATCAATGGAAACTTCAGAAATCCAAAGTAGATTCAGAACAGGCTATAGAATAGGGATATCATTGTTGGTGTCAGATGGAGCTTGGCTGAAAGTAGGAAATGCCAGAAATATATTGTCACACAAATTAGGGATAACGCTGCAGAAAAATAGACATACTAGGATACTTAATTGTGCTCATGGAAAACCTGTGCCTAGACCAGGAAGTGCTTGTCCAAACAAAGCAAGGCTGAAAAATATGGAGTAAAAGATATGGAGTAGATCTCCGTATGTACTCCATCTGTATGCTGAGCAAATCATTCCAGAAGCTTGATTATATGAAGAAGTATGTAGGTATCAAAATTAGAAAAAGATTACATTATGTAAATGACAAAACCTTGCTTACAGAAAGTGAGGACTTGAAGCATTTACTGCACAAGAGCTAAGACTGTAGCCTTCGGTGTGGGTCACATATCAGTATCAAGAATACAGAAGTGGTCAGAGTCATCAGTAATGTTGTGTTTTCTTTGTATCCACAGTGAGTGCCCGTAGAGTCCACAGCCAAGGAGTCAGACTCCACGTAGTCAGACAATCTTTTACAACACACCTATAAAAGTCTTAAAAAACAGTATGTCATTTTGAGAACTAAAGTGCACCTACTCCAAACTATGAATCACTTCATCTGCTTGTGAAAGCTGGATGGTAAGGAAGGTCAGAAAGAACCGATACACTTGAATTATGGTATTGGTAAAAGATACTGCATACTCTGAGTGACCAGAGGCGCAAACAGACTCCTGTTGGAAGAAGTGCAAGCAGGGAGTTCCTTGGAAGTGAGGCTGAGACTCTCAAGCACTTAGGGACATGCGGTCAGGAGAGACCAGTCCCTGGAGAAGGACATCATGCTTAGTAAAGAACAGACTCAGCAAAAGAGAGAGTACCTCGATGAAGATGAAGTGGATTGACACAGTGGCTGCAGTGATGGGTTCAGGACAGCAGGGCTGGTGGGGATGGTGTGTGATTGGGCAGGGAGGGTGGAGATGGTACAGGGATGGTGGGGGATGGT